CCAAAGATGGGTGCTCCGTGGCGACGCGAACACTGCTTATTTCCAGGCGGTTGCAAACGGTCGGCGGAGGAGAAACTCCATCCACTGTTTGTGGGAGGGAGATTCGCCTCTTGTTTGCCCCTCGGCCATCCGGGCCCATGTCGATGGATTTTACAAAGCATAACAACAACATGGACATAATACTAATTACCTACACAAGGCATCATACTCTCCATGAGAAGGCCACGGTTACCCTTTGGAGCAGTATGAGAACGACAAGCATTGCATCCTTGCATTTTACTCGAGGCTCCAGGACACAATAACAACATCAGCGCCCACCTTTTTTGCTTGAACACACACCTAAACTAGGGACACAGGAAACAAAAAGGCTAAATTGCGCAGACACCCATCTGGACCTAAATCAACATCTTTACCTACAAAGAGAAATGGGGACAGGCCATAGAATCCCCTCGTGAGAAGGCCATAGTTACGTTTGGAGCAGTATGAGAAAAGACAGGCATTGCAAGCCTGCTCTTCACACATCATTAGACCTACAAACAACCTTGCAGGTAGCTGGCTCTCACTTAACTGAACATGCAGGCAATGAAAGCACCCAACATTTTTATTTTAGCAGCCTGATTAATAAATGTATACCAAACAAACAAAAATTGCAATGACCTAGTATGAACCATGTAATACATACACTTCAATATGTATCCTAGTTTATCGTCATCACCTCATGAGCTTAATAATTACATAAAGTAATTATCATCATATCCAGAATTACAGTAGCAGCAACCAGCACTAGGACTACCAAATTGATTCAAAGTTCTTGCCATTGTGCAACAACTCGAGCTCTCAACTACTAGCTCCTGGTACTAGCTGATCTGAATGTGTAAGAAGTTTGATATAAATCACTACAAGAAAGTTGTTAATACATGACGGTCCTGGTCTGCCACAGATCAGCTAAAAGCTGTCATGCGTTCCCACCCATGACGGATTAGAAATCTGTCATGTATATCGCATCATAATTTCACATGTAACCTTCCATGACGGTTATTGGCCGTCAAGGATCTGCCCCAGGCCCGCCCGGCCCAAACTAGGATATGACGGAACAGACCGTCACCGATTTACATGACCTGGAATCAACGTGGACCTAACATGGCGCCTACATGGATCTGACGTGGAGGCGAGCATGGCCACAGTTACAGTTTTGGCCTAATAATTAAATTCTAGTCGGCCTAATAACTCCATTCCATTCCACCCCCATTATCCCCTTTTTTAGTCCAGCCTGTTTTCTTGTTGCATCACAATTTACAAAGACAAAAAATTATATTCATTCAAGAAATAGCATTTGTTCACAAGACAATATAAATTTCCAACAATCTGGTCTGATTTCCAAAAAAAAATCAAAACATCACAAGCGTATCTAAAAGGCGCTATAAGCATTTAAAAAAATCGAGTAACATGACTCCGTTAAAAAAGCACTACTAGGTGATTTTGATCTCCAACACTATGCAACCACTTCCATGCAGCTATTTAGACGCAAGTAATCCCGTTGAAATACTTTAAGCTCAAGTAACACTGACTAACTGCAAAATCTGCAAAAGAATCCAAAACACATCAGAATTATAATAAGTTATAACAGCCAGCTCCCAAATGAATACAAGGAGCAATAATTAGTTGATTTTCCAAGCAATCATCTCACACCACTACGATATTAAGGTAGCATAGCAATGTGGGCAACACACGCTAAGAAAAAAGCAGAATAGTAATACTGGAGGCATACTTTCTTCATCAATTAAAAGTAATTATGTCGATAAACTTGCTTTTTGCATGTAATGTAAAATAAAAACCACTCAAAGGCAATAGCATTTTAGCCAATTAAATGATCCACTTAGTACGATAACCTTCACATCTAGATTAGCCACACCTGGGAATTGTGAAGAACAGTAACATATGTTGGAATAAAAAAACATGCATTCTCCAATTTACTGATTAGCCTTCATGGCATACAAGGTACATAATTATCCCTGCCCATACTTCAGTATGAGAGGGAATGAAGAATTGAGACAGAGCATGTTTTGAAATTGTATATATGCCACTTCCTGATTTAGTATCTTTACTAGCAGGATTACTAGCATATTCTCTATTCGTGATTATTATCTCAATTGCTTTCTATAAAGAGCCATCACATGAAAATGTCTTAAGTATATAATTCAAGGGAATATACCTAGATCTCTTTTTTGTATAGTTCTGGTTATATACTTAACATTTTAGTTTAAAGATTACTAGCACACCATTAATTAATTATTCTGCCCAGTAGTCTTTCACCAATGAAGTGGTGTGAATAGTACCAAGAAATAGATAATATGCTAGAAATAACACTGAAATTTTGAGACTGGGCAAATGCACGATGTAGCAGATCGAACACTCTTAAATCTGAAGCGAAAATAATATACCATCTATTAGGTATCTTAAAGAAAAAGCACGCAATCTTCACTTCCATCGCTCCTTCAGATTGCAATTCTATGAATACGCATTTCCAGAAATACAATAATACAAAATCCATCACCTCTGCTGTAATAAGCGAAAAAATCAGCATCATTTAAACTGTTGCTTGCAAACCCCAAAAAGAAGGGAAAACAAAATGATTATTCATCCAAGTATATTAAGAAGTCAGGCAATAATTGAACAGGACATCAAGGAAGTAATGAAGAAGTCAGGTAATCAATTCTTATTTCTTTCATTGTTACTTACAATTTTCTTTCTGGAACAGAAGTATGGACACACAAAGTATACTCGAGAGACAAAAGAAGGTAAACAAACTACAAAAGTTAATTATTGTTTCCATGTAACGGCGTCAGCGCCTTTCTTGGCGCCTTTTTCGCCATTTTGACTTTTGACCCATAGTGTATGCAGAGCAGAAAACCTTTGTGGACATTAAAGAGGTACAATCAGGTAGAAGTGGAAGTGAACTGTTGCTAAAGAAAGCCAAGCATGGTACCTACAAACTGTAAAATGGAGCACGCTAGTTGTAACTCAGATATCTAGACATCTCTTCTACCTGCGACCTTTTTGTATCTAGACATCTCTTCTACCTGGCACAAAGGCCAACCTTTTAGTACCACCTCTCCTAGATTCACACATGAAAAAAATGCATCATACCTACAAACTGTAACATGGATTGCCTAGCTCTTGTATATATGATATGTATGTGAATCATTTCTTAACAGACTATGTCACCGATCTATTGAGACCTTTGTTTTGTGTTCCCTCCGTCCAGATGTGAAGGACAGGAGAGACACAATCAATTGTACAACTCAAATATTCTCCCCTTCAAAACATACAGACCACTTCCCCTTATTAGATAAAAGAAATAAGCAAACAGCTACATCAACAAAAAGATATTCATATACTTTGCAACAACATATGATGTTATCTACTTTAGAGAAAAAAACAATTTATCAATCGATATGGTGCGGAAGCAAGACGCTAGTACGTTGTATGCTTGCAGAACAGGAACTTGTTCAGAACAGTGACCTGCACTATAGATTGCATTTAATAGTGCTGTTGAACGTGGAGTTTAGATCGCGGTTCAGGGAACTTCTAGTAAACAAATGTAAAGGTTCATTTACTAGCTATCCAGTCATTGAGAATTAAGCTTCTCTGATTTTGAATGTGAATATGTGGTAGATTTCATGTAAAGGGGAGTTTGTTTGCATGCAGACATACATTATGCTACACATAGGCTGCAATTATCTCTCACCAAATTTTCACTCTATTCTACTCTATTCAGCCTATACTACCCACTCACAAAACAATAGTTGGGACTATCAATGCCATGGCTACAGTATTCCTCTAAACAACACTTCTGTACTTGTTAAATTACTCGAATGTAACTATCCCCCATTTTCTGGAACCAACAATTTTCACATCTATGATCCATAACTAAAAATGCATTAGTAAACTGCAGTGCCATGCTAGGAAATTGGGAAGGTCTTCCTTGGTATGAATGCACCAAGTGCCTTTTCCAAACTCTGGGTGTTCCTGACATTTATATGTATTGGGTGAGAATTAGATGGCAGAACCTATAACAATTGGGTGAAAATTAGATGGTCAAATACTTATAGGAACCTATAAATATTTAGGTTGAATCATTGCCTCTTTATTTATACAGATGAGCATGTTCAGTCAGGTAAAGCCCATCCTAACAAAAAAAGATGCCGGGGAGAGAGAAAGATGGGGTTTGAGGTGCTCACCTGGGCAAGGGAGGGCCTCTAGTGGTCCAAATGCTACAAAGGAGGCTGCCACAGGATGCACAGCCGCGCCAGAGATGTGGCACAGGAGGTTGGGGTCGCCGCCTTGCAGCCCAGCGCGGGCGAACACACTGAACTAGGAGATGCCATCTAGAAGGTGGAGAGTGCGCGAGTCCGCACAGTGTGCAATGGAGCGAAGCCGCCGGAGATGTGCCGACGATCGATGCGACGCTGCAGCCGAAACCCTAGCCACATGCTAGGCGTCGCAGGCAAGCGCAGGGGAACGGGAGTGGCGGATCCAGCTGGCTTGGAGGAAGAGGGGTCGGAGACTAGCTCATGGGTGTGTTGCGCGATGGTGGAGTCACCAGAACCGGTGGGCGTTGGCTGCGGCGTGAGGGATGCGGCGGATCTGGTAGCTACTGGTGTTGCAAGGTGAGAGGAGAGAAGGGGATGGCCAACGGCGAGCAATGACATGAGGGAGGTGAGGAGATGGTTGGTGGCGGCGATGTGGGAGGGACGATGGGGAATCAGGAGGGGGCTGCGGAGGAGGGAGGGGATGAGGGTTAGGGTTAGATTTTTATAGGGGTGAAGTCTAGGCGGGCTTTGGTGGGCTTTGGAGGGCTTGCGGGGCTCTGTCGGGCCGTCCATGACAGTTTTTGAAAATGTCATCAGAAATCTGTCATGGATTAACAGGTTTCTTGTAGTGAATTGTGAGTAGAACAATTCTTCAGAGCTAAATGTGCAACGAGCTTCTGAATATTATCACTTTGGAGGGTTACTATTCTTAGTTCTAAGAAGCCAAGACAACAACAAGCTTATAATCAATCCAAGATGACAGCAAGTCCAAGATTTTATGGCCAAAGCAGAAATTTCCATGGCACCAAGGCCATCATAAGATTTACCACATAGAGCATGGGAGATAAGCAGAGGGGAGGAATCAGTGGGATAACTTAGAGGAGAGAAGCCGACGGTGAGGATGGCCAAGGCAATGGACCACCTCCCCTTGCAAGTCGGCCTTGTAGTCGATCCACCTCCCCATGCGCATGACGACGGCCTCCCACTCGGCGACGTGCTTGGTGACGATGCTGTGACAGGTCTCATTGTACTTGCCGATGCTGAGGTCGAGCTTGTCGATCTCAGCATGGGAGCTTGCCGATGCCCATCCATGGGAGCGTCTGCGACGACGTCATAGTTGTACCTTCAATCCAAAGCACAAGATCCAAACGTTAGAAAAGAACAGGAATAGTACTACTCTGCCAACTTCACTTTTTGTTTCTGGAAATATAATTGCTTGAGCTAATTTGACAGATACAAAAATTAAGTTGGAACCATTTTTCCCTTTTGCTGTTGAGAAATCTCCCAATCCATTCAGTTTTTTTTTACAAAAGACCAAGATCCCAAAAATTACTTTGGGGGGGGGGTGCTCAGAACAGTCTATATGTGTGGTGATTTTGTTCAAATTCCTTCATACACTAGCACCAGCAGCTGGCCTTTTCAATCAAGAGAAAAAGAAAAACGGCGACAGAGAATTGGAGGGCAAAGCACATGCTTGGCGTTTTTTTCTTTACTGTGTGAGTGTGCGTGTGCTGTGTGTAACACCAAACTGACTGACAACCGAGATATTCACCAGAGGCTCCTTGAGTAGAATTTACAGGCCCACTGCTACGCATGCATTGCTAAGCTACTCCCATATAAATCCGCAGCAGCTTTTCCTCAAGAGCATAGGACTAGTAGGATGAAGTTGTTGCCAAGCCTAACCCATGCATGCACGGTACTCACTTGGTAGTGAAGCGCCGCGCGACGTCGCACTCCGCCGTGGCAAAGAAGGCCTCCATCTCCTCCGTCGGCGGTGACCTCCCCTTATTCGCCTTCTTCGCCCTGCACACCATGACAAACAGCAGCCAAAGCGTGAGCAGAGGAACTCCACACACAACAGCACGGCTTCGAACGGCCAGCGCCGTGCCGTGAGGAGAAGGAAGAAAGAGGGCTAGAGACTGACAAGTCGGCGGGGAGGCCGTGGCAGTCCCGCCCAAAGTGGCGCATCACGTGGCGCCCGCACATCCACTGGTGCCCCTTGACGACGGCCGCCCCGCCTGAGAAGAGTTGAAGCCCTCCCGCACTGGCCGCGTCGTCAGAGGGGGGGGGTTCTGTCATGGCGGCGCGAGCCCCTCCCGCTCCGCCCGTCTCTGGTGACCTGCCATGGCCGCCGCCGGCTATGGGGTGAGGAAGAGATGTGCCATGGCCGCCGCCGGCTGACCTGCGTCGGATCCTTGCCATGGCCGCGGGCAAAGAGGTTGTTGGGGGGAAGGGGCGCCGGCAAAGGAAGGAAGGATGGATGGTGTTGGGTGGCGGAGGGGCGGCCGCGGCGATCTGGATCGGGGAGAGGGAGGCGGAGGCGATGGGGATCTGGATCTGGATCGAGGGACCGAGGGAGGAGATGTGTCGTGTGAGTGTGTTTAGGATAGGTGAGCGAGAGACGCTGGATCGAGGGACTGAGGGAGGGTGTGGATGGCTCAGATCAACTACAGTGGGGGTGGTCCGTGGGCTGCCTCTTGATTGGTTCGAAAATATAAAATTATTTCTTAGTGCTAAAAACAGGGGGGTTTGTGAAGCAACTACCAAAACTATTCTGCAAATTGGCATCACTAAATTTTTCACTTAATATAGACCACATTTTATGGATGATTACCAATTTTTATGCATTTCCAATCCTTCTAGCTATTTTTGGTCATTTAAACAAATTTCCGCCGATTCGGTAGAAAGCGGGTCAAATTTGAACTACAGGTGCCTCATACTTTTCTCTTTATTTTTTTCAAATATAATTTCTAGGTACATAAGTATCTATTTAATCAGAGATACTTCAAAACTTTTGCAAGATTCGACCCTTAGCTATGAACGGTCATGCCCGTTGTTTTGACCGCATTTTCAAACGGGCATAAAAAATTCAAAAGAATTCAAAAATTTGGAAAACCTTCGCATTGTGTCATTAAATGTGACCAAGTTATTACGAAAAATAATAAACTTGTAATACATCAATTATTTTTAAACGGATTGCACAGTTGCACTTTCATCCCATGCATCAACGGCTGGATTTGGCATGTCAGGCAAAAATCAGCCGGAAAGTGTCCTTTCTGTAGTGGGACTCTTGTAGACTTGCTGGCGCCCATAACATCAATGGTTGAAGTCCTAAGCAAGGTATGGAGCGTTGGAAGTTGAGAGAGCCCAGAATGGTTTGAGGACTATTGTCGGAGTTGCTCTTACTGTTTTTTAGTCCATATAATACCAATATATAGCATCCAAATTTCTCACATTTACCTGGTTTATTTAGCATCCAAACCAGTCACGCTTTTGCCGCACATGTTTATGTGACATAGTGCTCTGAGGAAATCTGTAACGTCATCTGATTTTGGAGATTGTGAGTACAAATGTGCACAGTTTTTTCATCTGAGAGTTTTCCAACCAGACCAAACTTACCTATATGTTTGCACTATTTCTTTTAAATAAACGTAAGGGGGATCTAGCATTCCATTAACTATAACGAGTACTGTACATTTCTACTGGTAATTAGATGACCACAACCACAACGTAAACAAAAGATTTGGGAACACTAGTGCAGAACCGGGCAATAGCATCGGTTCGTAAGGCCCTTTAGTGCCGGTTTCATAACCGGCCTTAAAATATGGGCACTAAAGCCCCCCCCCCCCCCTTTAGAACCGGTTCAGCACGAACCGGTGCTAAAGGAAAACCACGTGGTACGAGCCAGCTCCAGGGGCCTGGAGCCCTTTAGTACCGGTTGGTAAGACCAACCGGTACTATAAGGTTTGGAGGGTTTTTAGTTTTATGATTTCTTTTTCATTTAATTTTGTGTTTCCATTTTAATTCTTGTTCGTTTGC